CCCTCCGGGCCCCTCCCCTCTCCTGGCCACGCCCCTCCGGACCACGCCTCTCCCCGCTAGGCCCCTCCCCTCCCCGGCGGCGCTGCCCTGGCCAGGCCTGACCAGTGCCCTGTGCTCCACCCTGCAGGACGCTCCGGAGGCCGGCCCTGGGCAGGGCCTGGTCTGCCGGTCCGCCTCCGGGCATGGCTGCGGAGTGGCCGGAAGTGAGGAGGCAGCCCAGATGAGGAATGAAGAGGAATGCCCGGGAAGGGGGGGCGTTGTACTTGACACCAATAAAAGAGAGACCCAGACCCTGGTCCTCCGAGTCCAGCGTGCACCGTCCCATAAAGTCGGGGCGGCCCTGCACAGTGAGGCCGTCGGGTGGAGGGGGGCCCTGTGCACCCCAAGGAAGGACTGTGGCCGCCGGGCTGTCCCTCAAACCCGGAGGCCGGCCGGCCAGCCGGACACTGGTTCAGGGGTCCCTCAGTGGCCCCCGGGCCTGGGCCCCGGGCCACCAACTTTGTGCGCAGGGTTAGGAGGTGTCCCCAGCTCCTACCCAGAGGCACCTGTGCGCAGGCAGGAGAGGGGAGGCTGTGCGGGCCGGGGCTCACCTGCCGCAGGAGGACAGACGGCAGGGGGCTGCCTGTGTCCAGGAGAAGGGGAAGGACTGACAGTGATGTGGGTAGATGGACGGGCTGGGGGCTGGCTCACTCATTCCCCTTAGCGAGGGGCACACACAGGCCGGCTAGAGGCCCCGTGGGCCCGCTGACCCCTCCCAGCCAGCTCTCCCCAGCTCACACAGGGAGGAGGCTTGAGGGCCAGAAAGACCAGGTCAGGGCAGGTCCTGTCTGGGCCTGCGACTTCACCAGTTCCTGGCCTGCTCTGGGGCTCCGGCCACTGCCCAAGGCCCCTGTCTGTACTTCATTATAGCCCTGCCCGGCACCCCAGGTTGCTGGTACACTTCCTGTGCACCAAGGGCACAGAGGGCCTCCAAGAGAACCCCAAGAAACAGCCTTAAAATTGTCCCCAAAGGACCTCTAGGGAAGAGCCAGAGGCTGCCTAAGACAGGGACAGCAAATCCAAGGCAAAAGTCTAGGCCCCTGCCCCAGCTCTGCCCCATCTCCCCAGCCCTGCCCAGCTCTGGCTCTCAGCTCCGCCCAGCTTCCCGCCCAGCTTCCCGGAACCCCTGCCTGACCCTCAGCCTCCAGCCCCAGCCCAGCCCTGCCCCCCCCCCCCCCCCCCCCGCAACCCTGCCCAGCTTTGCCTCCCAGCCCTCCCAGTTCCCTCCCTGGCCCCTCACAGCTCTTTCTTCTGGCTGAGCCCTGAATGTCCAACTCTGGCTGGTGCCGGCCTGCGGAGTCCCCCTTGGTAGAGGGCCGGTTGTAAAGAATCATAAATCCGGGAGGTGCCCAGCAGGGGCGAAGGTCACCAAGGCAGGACCTGCACCAGCCACCGACAGACGCCAGAGAGGCTGGGCCCTTCCGCCAGCGACCGGCACCAAGATGGGGGCCCTGGCTCTTCTGGGGCCTCCCCTCCTGCTGCCGCTGCTCTTAGCACTGCTGGGCCGAGCCCCAGGAGCGGCTGCCCAGGCTCAGGGTACGCGCTGGAGAGGGGCGGTGGCGAGCTGGCTGGGGCAGGGGTGGGGCTGGGTGGCATCCACCTTTTCTCCCCCGCGTTCCAGTCTGCACTGTGAGCCAGTCTTACTTCCAGCTGGAGGAGAACACAAATATTACTGGGCCCCTGGCAAATATCACTGTCCCACTGGGCCAGCATGTGGAGCTGAGTGACTTGTCCACCCCCTTGGCATTTGAAATCCGAGGAAACCAGCTGTTTCTCAACACAACTCTGGATTATGAGGTGCGGTAAGCTGGCTGGGCAGGGGCGGGGGGCCCCCTTTGTCTGGAGAAGTACGGTGTGTGAGGGAATAAGGCTTCTGTGCCCTTTGGCCCCCCAGCTGCCCTCAGGCAGCAAAGCCCTTTGGGCCCAGGCTGGCCCTGAGGGGCGGGGCATAGGGACCAGGCTTCCAGGAGCCTGCTGTCCAGGGATCTACCACGCACGGGGGTACCCGGGGGCAGGTGACTCACAAAACCCATCTGCCTCCCAGGAAACCCCGATACTGGAGGCGCACATAATATGCAAAAGGGGAAGCTCAGTGGTGAGTGCCCCCGCCCCCCCCCCGCCCCTGCCCTCTGCTTCAGGGGACCCCAAGGCTGCTCCTCAGTGACCTCATTCCAGTGTTTCCAAATGTCAGCCCTCTGCGGGCCACGCCCACTCCGCCCCCAGCTAGGACTGGTCTGCCCATCTGCCCTAGACACCTAGACACCCGTTCCTCACCCAGGCACTGGTGCCTCTTCACCTGCCAGTCACTGTGGCCGCCTCTGTTCTTTTTTTTTGTGTGTGTGTGTGTCAGTCGTGGGGCTTGAACTCTGGGCCTGGGCGATGTCCCTGTGCTCTTCAGCTCAAGGCTAGTGCTCTACCGCTTGAGCCACAGTGCCACTTCCAGTTTTCTAGTGGTTTATTGGAGATAAGAGTCTCACGGACTTTCCTGCCCGGGCTGGCTTTGAACCATGATCCTCAGATCTCAGCCTCCTGAGTAGCTAGGATTACAAGCGTGAGCCTCCAGTGCCCAGCTCAGCCTCTGTTCTTGCCCGGCCCCCTTCCCTCCCTCTCTCCACCTCCCACACTGGCCCATCCTGTTTCACAGCCCTGCAGGCCTCCCCTTTCTGTCCCTGGTCCACATCAATCATCTCTTCCTGTGGAGAGCACCCACTCCCCGTAAGCCAAGCAATCCAAGCCTTGCTCAGGCCTTTCCAGGACTCTGGGCCTGGGCGCTGTCCCTCAGCCTCAAGGCTAGCGCTCTCCCACTTGGAGCCACAGCGCCACTTCTGGTTTTCTCATGGTAGGAGATAAGAGTCTCATGGATTTTCCTCCCCTGCTAGCTTGGAACCTCAGCCCTCAGATCTCGGCCTTCTGAGTAGCTAGGATCAGCCCACCTACTTTTTGTTTTCTTTTTTTTTTGGGGGGGGGTCTGGTCGTGGGGCCTGAACTCTAGGCCTGGGTGCTGTCTCTCAGCTCTTCAGCTCAAGGCTGGTGCTCTACCACTTGAGCCACAGCACCATTTCTGGCTTTTTTCTTTTTGCTTATGTGGTGCTGAGGAATTGAACCCAGGGCCTCAGGCATGCAAGCAAGCGCTCTACCACTGAGCCACCTTCCCAGCCCCGAAGTCAGGCCTTACTTAAGGTCTATGAGTCCGTGCTGGGACAGGAGCTCACAGGTACCAGTGGCAGGATTGAGTGACTGATGGGTGCTAGAACAGCCCCCAGCCAGGCTGGGGCAGGGGACAAGGCGGTGTGCCCGGTGTGCCGATGCCCCACAGGTGACAAACTTCAGGGTGCTAGTGGTGGTGCAAGACGTCAATGACAACGCGCCAGAGTTCCCCTTTACCTCCAAGGAGTGGAACGTGACTGAGGTGAGCCCTGAGCAGGGCGGGGCTGGCTGGGCAGGGGCGGGGCTGGC